GTTTGCAGAATGTGCAAAAAACTTACATTTAAATGGGACGTCAAAATACATGCAATGTCATACATGACATGTATCTTCAGATTGCTCTCTGGTTGAACAGCAGAAAGAAGCTGCTGTATCATGAATACTGGATATCCGAGCCTACATAAACAAAACAATAGTTATAAGGCTTCACACAGTTCTTCAGTCCTAAAGTATTTGAAGTCTTCACAAAATTGTTGGTTTGTTTCCTCTATTCAGGCAGATTAATTACACTGATCAAATGTTTTAAATTCATTTTGGGTACTGTAGTCATTCACTTGGAAAATATTAACGGAAAAAGGAAGTATCTAAACCACTAAACCACATGGAATTTGTGAATGGAATGGAAATGTTACTAAGTATAAATGGTTTACCTTTCTCCATGGTGCATGTCGAGGAATTTCAAGGGGACGCTGTGCCGACATACAGCTCCGAATACGCCTGTCACATCAAGCTTTTCTTGCCTTCGACCTTGATCTGACAGAACTTCCAGCCTGGAAGTTGTTGCAGTCCTGAAAAACATGAAGGGATGATGCTGTTATAACATTATGGTACATCGTATCATCTATGACATACATCTAATAGCTTTTATACTTCCTTATCAATGAATCTCTAATGCCACACACGCCTCTTGAATTAAAAGGGAAGAATCTGAATCCTGAAGACTGTGTGGATTATCAGTAGAGATTCTGGACCTTGAAGAGAATGTTTAGCTATACTAGTGGTTTATTGGGGTTTACTGTGGAAAAACTCTCCTTTAGCTGCCCAACCGTGGGTGACAGCAATTCTTCCAGGAGAGATTGGTGTTTGAGTAGAGCAAGAGGTCGAGCACAGTAAAGAACAATGATGATGATGATAATTACTTCTGACTGCTGAATAATAGTAGCAGTATACTAACAGTGTGAGTGGATTAAATCAATCTCTGATGGACTAAATAACCCAGTTAGTGCAAATGCTAATATACTGAGTTGATAGTCATTGAACATGTTCCCATTTTGGGGGTTGGAGCTAAGTAATGCAATCAATGTGCTGGTGTTGATGGCTAAAGCATATGACTACATCTCAAACTACTCATCACCTCATCAGGCTTACTATCCTCGGAATAAGTAGACATGAATTCCTTCACATCATCTTCGGGCAGGAAGTAACGGCTTTGGTGAAGAGGGCCGGCTGAACTCCTGCCTGAAGACCGTTTCCTCACAAGGCCAAAATTGGCATCGAGTGAGACGATCATCTCCCCTTCATCCTACATAGAAAATATACAAGTGCAGAAAAAGGGTCTAACTGTACTGATAAATGAGAAAAGTGTATTGCTGCATGGAGACTACATAAGAAGTTTCTTTTTTAAGCATATACGCTAGTTCACTTGCAAGAATTGTCAGTACAAAGCAATACATACAAATGTATATATATTATATATAAACCGTCTTAGGATTGAATACATGACAAGACTGTTACAAGCAAAGTTCTGAAATGGCAGCTGGGATATGCAACTATATTACCTTTGGGCATGTAGGACAAACAGTTCCATCATCAAGTTCTGCACACAGGTGAAGCAGAGTTCTCTTTTTGTACAAGTGATGGTGGAACTCTGCCACTGACTGCCCAATCAATGCCCTGTACAGGATATCAACCTAAACACAAAGGACAGGAAACATCTATCAGCTTGCAATGGTGCAGTACCCAGTACAAAATACCCTCTTGCCCACTTGCTTGAGGAAGGTAACTACAGTAGATGGCAACCAAGTTTCATCGCATGGTTTGCTACTGAGCTACCTGTTTTTTTTAAAATCATTATGGGCACTTATTTTCCACTGGTTATGCAACTACAATGTACATGTTGAAAGCTGCAGATGTCATTTATAGAAATCAAAGGCTTTAAATGGAGCAACCTAAAATGTTGCTGACCAACCTATGTTTTACAACCAGTTGCCCACAATGCAATGAGTATAAATGGTACTTTAAAAGGTACTTTAAACACTGAAAACAGACTCACTGAAGTTTATATTCAGAGTGACATCCTGTCTACTAGTATATAGCTCCCTCATAGGCTGGTTTGGAACAACTCAATCATAACATCCACTGTTCTAGTGTTCATCACTGACCAAATGTTCCTCATTGTTTCAGTGTGTCTCAGTGCAAAACCAATATTAAATACATTTGTACCTCGTATTTGGAAAGACCGCTCCTCCACCTCACAGCATTACAAAACCCTTTGACAGACACTTGGCACTCAAGTGTCAATGCTGTCAGCCACTCTAGCAGGTCTGTGGAGAATGCTGTTTCGGGACGATCTGCAGTGGCTGCCCAAAGACCAAAGCGGAGTAGGGTGCATGCATCTGCTTCGTGGTCGCATACAAATATGCGCCAATAACAGACACGACCTGGAATAAAATCAGATTCCCGTGTTGTACAGCTTTCTTCTCTTACTTAACCTCAATATATATGTACTGCAGATATTTTAACTATACAGTTTTTTTAGTAAATTTTACCATAATGCTGTTGTTGAAATGTTTACCCATAATATTCATACATCCAAGTCAACGGACTGCTTTATCTGTTTACTTAGCTATAGGTTGACAAGTCACAATATTTTTTTGGCTAGTTTATTCCCCAAGAGTATTTTTTGGTTCCCAGGCTATGCGAGCCAGAGCTGAAATTTGGTCTAAGATTTTTTTTCCACCAAAAACATACTATAGGGGGAAGAAAGTTAAAAAAATACAGGTAGCTCTGTGGTCCAGAAGGACCCCAAGCAGGGCTGTCTCTAGATCCAGGACCAGTCCCTCCTTTCCCAGATGGGAATGGACCTTTCCGGTCGAACACCGTAAGCCCCGCCCCCTGTTCTATTTCGAGCACCTTGGTCCAAAACAGCGCGGGAAGTGCCGCTGCCAGAATGTCGGTTTTGTCGCCCAACGTTAGGGTCGAGTTTTCAACAGCAAAAAACTCTCTCCATGGCCCAAAAAAAGGGTTACGCTATCTTTGTTGAAGTATGCACCCGGAGAGTAAAACTTATTTGAGGAGGGGACAGGGTTAGATTTAGTGAGAGCAAAATGTTTTTGCTCATTACATACATGTATTATGTGAATGCAGGATGTGCCGCAAAACATCACACAGTAGGCGGATTTCAAGCCAGGAAAAAAAACAAAATGAGAAAAAAAATGCTTGGGTGGTCACGGGGAAGGGCGCAACTTATAAAGGGCTTTGTGATACAAGTATAAACATACACATGCAAACATGGACATACATGTAAACAATAATGAGGGCTTCATAAGCAAATATAACATTGACAAAACGTATTTGGTTAACGTGAAATTGCCTCCCAGTGTACAAAATACTTTTTTGAACCAGGTTGCCCGGTGGGCAAAAATTAGGTTGCACATCAGAATTTTAGGTTGCCCAACCTATAAGTGGGGGACTCGACGTGTTCGATCAGGAAAGGTCCATTGCTTGCTTCAAATTACTGAAAATGTTTGATGTGGCATTTCAGACTGATCCCATAGTTTCCCGAGTGGCTGATCATGCCATTGACCCACCCCTGGTCCTGAGTGTGATTGACAAAGAGCTGGAGACAGCGCCCTGAACCCTATGTATCACGGGGGATGGTTAGGGTATAGAATTTTCTTCTTACACAACCAGTAAGGTTCTCACCTGCTTACGTTTCAATGTCTATCAGACACCTTCCTCAGAGCTTCTGACTGGAGTTCTGCAACTCGCTGCTATTTATCGCCAAAGTAGGTGGCAAAGTAGGTTGTGTAAGAAGAAAATTCTATACCCTAAATATCTTCCAACCAACATTTACGGAAAATGGGGGATGGTTGTCTGATATATGTACATGATGTACAAGATTTTAAGTCCTTTTTTTCTCTATTCTGCAAGGTGCAGGTAACTTTTAACATCATTAATGTAGATGGGAAATTGCACATGTTTCTACCAACAATTGATAACTGACTGTCTAATTACATAGATACATTATTTCAATATTTCAGAGTATTTTAGTACAGTGTTTTTATGGAGGCAAATGGCTCCAAAAGATATCATATGATAATATAAACCATCAAGTGGGTATCCATGGTGCTGATATGAAATCTGATATAGTTGTAAGTTAAGAAGATTAAAGTTAAGAAGTGCAATGCAGTCACCTGAACTGTTGAAGACTTTGAAGGTCTTTAAAGTTCTACTTGGACAGTCTTGGTGGTCTTGTCTTTCAAGAATGGTGCTCTCAAGGTTGCCCAGTAGAAATGGTTCATAATGATCCTCCTGAGAAAATGAACATAATAACTGGGTTAGATTATAACATTGGTGGACAGTTTTGATAGCCTGGGTACCATCCCCAGTAGTATATTCGTAAACTCTATAACTGGGTCTGGACTTGCACACATATGTAGCGTCTGGAGTCTAAATATTCGTTCAGATTTTGAACGAGCGCGCTGATTGGTCCTACTCGTCTAAGCCCTTTTTTGGGTGTGTACATATTAGGTAAGGGCTGTTCGGATGTCCGAACGGCGACGTTAGCGTCCGTTCGAACGTCCGAACGCCTTATCATCAACATGTCCGACGGCGAACCGAACGCTAAAGCGCACATGATATAGCCGTAGTCAGTCTTTCCGCGATAAATCATCAACATGGCTGACGCACAAGCCGCTCAGCTCACGGAGGTTGATGTTGACCTTGCAATCACGTCCGTTTTGGACGATTTAGACGGAATATCGTCGCTCAAAAATGAGCAAAAAGATGCATTGAATAATTTCGTTCGTGATGTTTTGGGCGTCCTACCGGTAAAAAAAAGAACGCACCGAAAAGGAACACTCGCGCGAAGATCTGTGTTTACAAAACAACAAACATCACTTGAATAATGCAGGTGCGCCATTGGCCGTCGCCTCTGAGGCTCAGCCAATCAAATGAAGCCCCGCTGCTCGGGCTAGCTCATTACGTGACGTCATGACCAATCGTTTTATATGTGTGCAAGTCCAGACCCAGTTATAGAGTTTGCGAATATACTACTGGGGATGGTTAGCCAGGCTACAGTTTTGATAGAATACCCTTATAAATCTATATGAATAGATTCAATCAGATACCATCAGATACTGGCAGATCAAAATAACAGAATTATGACATTGACAACCAAGGCTCAAAATACTTCTGTTAAACACTGGGTTAGGTAGCATTCTAAAATACGTGCACCTGTCAAAGGTGTGGATCACAAGTTATATTTGTGGCAACAATCCTATTCGTATTTCTTATTTGACACTTCATAGGTGGTAATAATATAGCTAAACAAACTGCCTTCTAATTTATATGTTAGATATCCAGTAAATATATAGGTACCTCTGCATTTACTCAGCCATTTGTAAATTGTTGGTACATGTACAATGTTTTCAAGACCAGTATGTGACTGATTATCATATACAATGTAACATGTCATGATTAGAAGTTCTAGGAACAGTACATACCAGCCATTGTTCTGGGTAGTGAGCTGGTGACAGGTGGTGCCGTACTATTACGCAACAATCTGTGCAATATGTTACAGTGGGCCCACAGTCATTACACTTTATCGGACAGGACTCCTCCATTCCACAAAAACTGCAAATGTAGCATGGGGCTGCCAGTTGGGTAGCAGTTTCCAAGAGCTGATCCCTGACTTCTGCCCACTTTGCCAGCTCCCTTTCTTTGGATACTTGGTATCTGGAGGGCTGCTGTGGAGCACTTGTGCTGGAGGGTTCTGGATCCGGAGGATAATCTGGAGGGGGTAGAGGCATGGATGTGCCTGGGGTCTCAGATTGGCTGTCATCAGTACTGTTAGTACTGCCTGGCATCTCACTGTACCCATATACACGAGGTCCATCGAGATAATGTCTTATGCACGGGATTCTCGGTCTTTTTGGTCTGCTACAGAATACACCGGTAGTCTTTTTTTTCCTCCCCATGTCTGTCAAAAATAAAGTTACAAGAATTAAACCACATTAGCATTGAAATACATTAGCACTTGAATGGAATACATTGTATTTGGCTAATATCCAATAATATCCACTATTCTATAGTCTACTATTGTTTCTCTTGATACAGATGCACTAACATATACAGCAACAGCCTAGAAATTATAATTATTATGCATAATAATCTTGTAAACATGTCCTACAAACATCTTTTCCCACTGTTCTTGTGTTACTAGAATGAATATAAAAAAATATGAAGCAGAATAACCAAATCTAGATCTGGATTGTGAGTGAGTGAGTGAGTGAGTGAGTGAGTGAGTGAGTGAGTGAGTGAGTGAGTGAGTGAGTGAGTGAGTGAGTGAGTGAGTGAGTGAGTGAGTGAGTGAGTGAGTGAGTGAGTGAGTGATTGAGTGAGTGTTTGCTTTGAACTCAATCCAGTTTAACGTCTGTTGTTCTCCATGTTCAGAGGGTTAGATATGCTTGCGCACTGAACCTTGTTGCTTTAATCAATCATCAATAAAATGATATCAGGAAGAACCAGTTTCCCATTCCATTGCGCCCATGGGGGTACAATCTCCCTAGTTGCATAATGCAGAAAGGTACAGTACCATGTTGATGTTAAACAGCTTGTTTTTCTGTGCTTTTTTTTAATATGAGGTGTTTGGGCTTATCATGCTCAGCATGAATCCAATTGACTAACTATGGGGCAAATCTGACAATAAATAGAGAATGAAATGTTTGTGTTCTTTTTAACATGAAACATGTGGTTTGTAACATTACAGTGGCAATGCTATGCTGTCTGTCAATAAAAAAAGAGATACAACCCCTTCTTCAATCTATTATATGTTACTGGGCCCAGGGTGCACAGGTAGTGTGGCCGGAGGGGGGGTGGGTGGCTGTGTCCTGAAAAAGTGTCTGACAAAACAAAACAAAACATCTACAATATTTCGGTGCAATGGTGAGGGGCCGTACTAGTAATATCCTTACATCTGGGAGTCAGAGTAGCCTAATTGTACTGGGCCAACCCCGACTGGAAGGTGTTGACTGTAGGTTGTTTTTTGTCATCAAAGAATGTAACGTTACAATTAAACCACAGAAACACATAAATTCTGGGACCTAAGAATTTTTACCCCCAATTAGACAAAACTGGTGAACGCCTAGAAAACCTAAACTGGCCTCATCCTGGCCTTAATAGGTTAAGGTACCCTTTTTTACGCTCTTGATACATTATCTATGCAATTATGAATAGGATTATGTCTTTTTTTGATTTATGGAAAAAGCTAGTGACGGCTATCACCTGGTAACGTGCCACCATGCATGTGCATATCACTCACTATATAGCCTCCACTGGATATTTGATATCTTGAAAAAACTCGCAAATACTGCGTGTTTCCTAATTCCTAAATGCACGGGTAATGTATTTAAAGCGTTAAAAGGGTTTAAACCTATGTACACCGCTTTAAATTACGCTCGGATATGCGTCCCTGGTTGACTCTAGTAGGCAAAACCGCCCCCCTCCCACCCACAAAACAACGTATCTCCATGTGCTACTGTATATATATGGCTCTTCTAGCCATGAAACTAATACAATTACAGTCTTGAGCTGTATTAAATAAGGATTTAGGTATTTAACGTTACGTATTTACCTTAGAGATTTTGGCAGCAAATTTTGCTGGCTTCCTTCCGTCGAAATTACCACGCCGCCATGAAGCCGCTTGGTGCGGTGACCCGATCCCGTGAGGCTTCGCGGCTCCTGCGGTCTCAGCGATCTGCCTTAGTTTTGGTGCGATTTTGTCGTTAAGCGCGTAGGCTGGGCCATAAGACTACGATGCTTAGTCGACAAACTCGACTAAGCAGTGGTCCTGCTTAGCGATTGTAATCGTCTAAGCGTGTCAGAACCGCCTGCACCCTTGAACTCTCATATTCTGGTTACTAATGCACGTAAAGAATTACTCACAGCAAAGCAAGTTTGGGAGAACAGAGCTACTAGATCCAGCTACAAAAATTTAACTGAAGCCCAAAAACACTTGGATGATGCCTACGCAAAGGCTGAAGCAGAAGTCATCCAAGAAAAGATAGATCGCATCGCTCATCTTCATGTCACGAAACAACATGATGCTGCCTGGAAAACTATCAACGAACTAACTGGTCGGAAATCCAAACCAACAGTCAAATTAAAGGGGGGTTCTCCTGAAGAGAGGAAAGACAACTGGCTTGCACACTTCAAATCCCTCCTGGGTTCATCTACGAGGACTCCATCTGCAAAGCAACTTAAGATGTCACCCGTTGTGGAAGATCTGGACATAGTAACAGATGCCTTCACCCCAAGTGAACTTGAGTTGATTCTGAGATCTCTGCATGACAACAAATCCCCAGGGTTAGATAATATACCTGCCATCATTTGGAAAGACCCAGTTTTCAAGGACCTTCTTTTGTATTTGTGTAACCAAACCTTTATGTATCATAGACCACCATCATCCTGGTTAAAAGGAGGAATTGTTCCCATTCCCAAAAAAGGCGACCTAACATCTGCCTCCAACTATAGAGGGATTACACTTACTCCTATTGCTGCAAAAATATACAACAAACTTTTACTTAATCGCCTAACCCCTGTAATAGACCCTGTTCTTAGGAGGAACCAAAATGGTTTTAGAAAAGGGAGGTCAACAATTTCACAGATTCTTGCAATACGGCGAATAATTGAAGAGTTGAAGAGATGTAATAGGGATTTTGTATTGCTGTTTGTCGATTTCCGTAAGGCGTTCGATTCCATCGATAGAGATGTGATGTTTGAAATTCTAGCAATGTACGGTATTCCATATTGTTTTATACAAGCAATTAAGGCCCTGTATAGAGATACTATAGCCTCAGTGATCACACCTGACGGTGAGACTAGTTCATTTGAGATAGTTACTGGAGTTCTCCAGGGTGATACTTTAGCACCATATTTATTTATCATTGTACTTGATTATGTATTACGAATATCGCTAGACGTAAATGAAGACAAGGGCATAGAAATCCAACCGCGCAGGAGTCGAAGGCACCCTGCCCAATATCTCACTGATTTGGACTTTGCAGACGACCTTGCGCTGGTTGCTGAACTGATTAAAAATGCAGAAACATTGCTTCAATCCCTAGAAGAAGCTGCATCCCTTGTGGGGCTTTTTTGTAATGAATCAAAAACTGAATACATCAGTAACATTTCTGGACCATTAGAACTGAGATCATTGTCTGGGGCACTCATTACAAAAGTAGAAAACTTTAAATACCTTGGTTCCTTCATTATGTGCCCAAGGAAAGATTTTGAAACTAGAAAAGCCCTAGCATGGGAAGCATGCAACAAATTGGATAAGATCTGGAAGTCTAATATCCCTAACAAATTGAAAGTCCAAGTTTTTCTTACCCTTGTAGAACCGATACTGCTTTATGGTGCAGAAAGTTGGACACTTACCTGTCAGCTTCAAAAACGATTGGACGGGACTTATACAAAACTCTTGCGGAGGGCACAGAATATATCTTGGAGGCAACATGCCACTCTCGAAAAAATTTATGGAGGACTCCCAAGACTGTCTCAAAAACTCACCCACCGTCGAGTTATGTTCGCTGGACATTGTCTCCGAGCCAAGCAAGAAATTGTTTCATCTGTACTCATGTGGAAACCACGTGGACGAGTGCACTCCAGAAGTTTGACATTCACCGATACCTTAGTTAGAGACACTGGAATCGACTTTGATGACTTAGAAAATGTAATGCTTGATAGGGCTGTATGGAAAGAAATCTGCATTAGCTTAGTCCCGGCTGTTAGCCGATAGATGATGATGATGATGATAAAGTCATTAAAGATGGCCAATATTTCCAATGTGATTTTTCTTAATATAATATGTGAGTAAGGATGTGAAATTTTGTGGGAAAGACTGTAGTAACAGATCATGCTCTAACTCACTCCACAAGTTCTGAAGGGCAGACAGTACTATTAGATCTTGCCATAGGAACACATGCTTAAATACACTATTTCAACACCTCATGAAAGTACTTGCCCATACTCCAATCTCAAAAATTTTTCTGCACCAGGTAGCAACAAGGGTCTGATTCCCACAAATAGAAAGGAAACAGGGGGTTGACCATCTCAAATTCCCGCCACAGCTGATGATAGTAAAAAAACCTCAACTTTGACCTACATTTTCCATGGTATCCATCCGCCTGGCCAGACAAGACCTAACCACTCACATCTCTCACTACGCCCACTAAACTGGTGAAATAAACAAAACTTGACCAATGTAGGAAAGTTTAGACCCTACCTGTGCCTTCCAGCCCAAAAATCTCCAAAATGGACCAAAAATTTCAAGAGAAAAAAAGGTTTTCAAAGGTATTAACTAGGCACTACAATCGTTCCCATTTTGAGGCCTCTACTGCGCAACGCAAATGTGGTGTCTGCCCTGAAGCCCTGGAAACAAGTAGCTCTCATTCGCGATATGCAGATGAGTCATGTGACCACCACATTCAGTGCACCAAATATGGAAGAAGCTTCCAAACTTAATGTGACTCGCCATGTGCATAAACAGTTATGTTAAAATGTCGATTTAGTTTCTTTAAAAGACAGTGTTCATTTACAGGTGTATACAGTGTGTTGTTTAAATAGTAACTTTTATCCACATTTGAGGTATATTTGAATGGAGCAGGTAGGGTTTCTGATTTCAGGAGTTACCTGCACCTGCAGATTATCTGATTTGTTTTGTAGATAAAAGCGAAGTTGAAATGTACAACAAGATCAAACTTTATTTCAAAGCAGTTGTAAGGACTACAATGTATTGAATATTGTAATAAGTCTAAATTAGTAATGTGGTAACAGAACATAACCTTTCACTTTTCCACTATTTCATACAGGTGTCAAGAGTCAACATGCAGCTGAATGGATATTGTCTTCAAAAATCAAAGGAAATGCAGAGCCCATCAGGACAACTTCTTAACTGGACCAGACAATGCAACCTAAGATAAGGGTGCTGTACAACCAGTACTGTCCCAGAGGAATGCTTTTTGGCCATATATTGGCTCAATGTATAAAGGCATATCAGCCGTATACCTTTAGTAATGGTCATATATTCACACAGAAACATAACAGCTATATTCCAACAGCAAGTACTGCTTGTTCAAGGTACACTGAATCAGATGCATCACCTCATTAAATGGTTTGTTAATCCCAGTCACAATGCATGATACAGGTACTTTATATATATATAGTGTATTTACCTATTACAACTTTAATTACCTAGATCCTATAGCTAGAAACAGTTAAGAAATAGGACTATTAATGTCAACTTATATTTAGACAATGGGGTGTCTGAGTCCGAGTCGGATTCCATCACAATTCTCTTCCTCCGCTTTCCTTTTCCCAGCTTCGGAATGTTCTTCTTCCGCCTCTTCTTCCCTTTCCCCTTATCCCTCCCTCTCCTTGTCCCCTTGCCATTTGTTGTTGCAGCCCCCTCCAATCCTGGCTGGTTTGGAGGGTCAATGGTGACCTCCCTGCTCTGCCAAAATTTTTTTTCTTATTTTTCTTATTTTCTTATGTTGAGAAATATTTTCTTTCAAGAAAATTCAAGAAACATTCTTGAAAGATTTGGTATGTTGATTGTAAGAAGATTTACAGTCTTTTTTTTTCTGCTACAAGAAATATTTCGTTGTGTATAGAATGGTTTTCTTGCTTCAAGAACAGTTAGCTCTTAGTTAAAAAAATATTTTCTTGTGGACAGAATCGTTTTCTTGCTACAGCAAGAAAAAACAAGAAACACACGTGTTTCTTGAATTTTCTTGCTACGGGGATTCTTAAATTTCTTGTTCAAAGAATAATTTTCTTGCTATAGGATACATTTTCTTTGTACAAGAAAGAAGAAAGAAAACAAGAAAAAGCATTTTTGGTAGTGTGCTCTGCTGTCCTGCTGCCTGCAGCCCCTCGGCAACTCCCGTCAAGAGCGATTCAACTGTTCAGAGGACACAACAAACACATGCTTACAAATGATGTTCACTGATTTATGACATTTGATTTTTACTCTGTTATACAACACCTTTGATGATACAAATTACCTGATCATACAATACCAGGTGTTTGGCCACATGCTAATATCCTCATTATATCTAATCTTCATTAACTGAAGTAGATAAACAAATTACCAGTATCGTCATCTTGCCTGCCACCAGGTATAGAGCTGTCGTTTTCTAGGTCATGACCTGTGTAAGTAGAGAATTTCAGTCAATTTGACATGCTTGTACTCAAAATGAAAAGAAGAATACGCCAAAAAGCAGTTACTCAAGCAACTGGATATGATTTTGAAAACGTCAGACGTTTCAACTAGTATCCACTAGCTTTCGTCAGTGACTGAGAGACCAGAGGGGAAATGCAGGTTTATAAGCACAACCTATTGATTGATATGCAAATAAAGTGAAGACAAATTTTTGGAAGTCGAAAAAGGAACAAAAGTCAGACAAGTCAAGACAAGATGATGAAAATTAGTCTGAAGCTCCTATATGAATAGTGATGTTGACCTTGTTTTTGTTGGTCAATGGTTTGCACTTCTGGGTTTTCGTAGACTGATCTGAAGGTTTGAGCGCTTTGTTGAAAGTCCAGTTTTGGTAGCCACATTTAGCCAGGGCACCTCGGAGGTGTCTATGTTCGTCCGTTTTGGCTTGGTCTGAAGTGATAATGTTGTCTGCACGATGAAACAGAGTTTTGATCACTGCTAATTTGTGTTCCAAAGGGTGGTGGGAATCAGACAAAGACATGGTACACCCTAAGGACGGACCTCACAAAGGTACCAAGGCGAATGTTATTTACAGACTCAAATGCGAGGAGCCCTACTGTTACAACACCTACATCGGAGAGACAAGTCGACTGCTCAAAGTAGGATACAAAGAACACTGCAGACCTAGTGCCAACGGCTACTCCTCAGCTATTTTCCACCACCTACAACACAACCAGGGTCACTCTTTCAAACTTGAGTCCACGGATATCTTAGACCGCGAAACACGCTGGTGGGAACGGGGTGTTAAAGAGGCAATATATGAAAGAATGTACAACCCCACCCTCAACAGGGAAGGGGGGGCTACGGGTGGATCTTGGGATTTGGCACTCCCAGCCCCGAGGACAGACAACACTTAAGCTCCTGTTCTGTATAACAGGAGCTTTCTGACTAATTTGCATTATCTTGTCTTGACTCGTCGCACCTGTCTGACTTTTGTTCCTTTTTCGACTTCCAAAAATTTGTCTTTACTTTATTTGCATATCAATGAATAGTTTGTGCTTATAAACCTGCATTTCCCCTCTCAGTCACTGACGAAAGCTAGTGGATACTAGCTGAAACGTCTGACGTTTTCAAAATCATATCCAATTGCTTGAGTAACTGCTTTTTGGCGTATCGTATTACCTGGATGTCTAACCTTCATCGACGTATCTTGAAGATGAAATGTTTGTTTCTTCTCAATCAGGATGGAACAGCTAAGTGGGGCGAACACGGAGTTTGCGCTGAGCCTGTACCGCCAGCTGTGCGGGGACGGCGGGAACGTGTTCTTCTCGCCGTACAGCATCTCCGTGGCGCTGGCCATGACGTCCCTCGGCGCTTGCGGCAGTACGGAGGCCGCCATGAAGGGGACGCTGTGCTTCAAGGACATGTCTAATGACGTCCTGCACAGCACTTTCTCCACACTGCACCAACAGCTGTATGCAAGGTAGGGTACTAACTGTTATAATTAGCCTTTAAAAGTATTGGTTTATTTGTTTGTATCAACATATCAACAACATATTTTGCAGCCTTGACATACAGGGCTGAATTCTGATCAAATTGTTTACAATCTAAATTATTAATAGTAGGGAAATACAAATTTAATAATATTTAATAAATGTTTTTTTTATTGTCCAAACAGTACCTTGCAGTCGCAGCCTTTATACGGCTGAATTGATGCAGGGTATCACATAATCAATACAAATCACAACAATCAAATGATACATATAATACACAACAATCAAATGATACACATATTTGTAATCCACAATTTTTTGTGGAACTGCCGCAAGGGTCTGTGCGGCTGCCATTCGGCGCCAAAAGGTGACCTCAATACGGCTTTCCCCAACCGAAGTTAGGTACCCATTCACACCTGGGTGGAATGAGGAAAGTCGTGTAAAGTGCCTTTCCCAAGGGCACAACGTCGGGGCGCATGTCCAGACATGTCCCCGGTACGACTCGGAATCGAACCCGGGTCTCTCGGTTCACAGTCGGATGATCTACCACTACACCACCCGACGCCACGTCAAAATATCATATCGGAATTTACAGATTGATATATCACTTTGGTTCGAAAATTAGGTATTTACAATCTTACAATCGTACAAACTATGACAATCTTACGTCGTACAAACCTTATATCACTTAAGTTTTAACATATATGTAAAAGATTAGTCATAATAAATAAATAAATAAATCATCGTCGTAAATCAATTCCTATGGGGCTATTTTGGATCTGTCAGTCCTAGTTGTGATAGTGTCTATGAGCTGAGATGTTCTCATTTGTCTACCGCTATACTATATTCAACATATGAATTTCATATTAAGGATCTAATCTAATATTTTTACAATCTACTACAAAGAAACTAGTAAGACCAAGGTACCCAGGCTCTAAAACATATTGTAAGACTCATGTACAATCATTTGTTGATACATGTAGTTCTAATCATTTCATTTGAAAAGTATATATCACTGACTCAGAGTTTGTAATTGAACTAAAAGGCAGTAATTCTGCTAAATGCCTTTTTCATAATTTTCCAATTGTGCTGGCTGTCATCTTCTTTAATAACCCCAGGCACCATATATTCAATTTGGTACTGTAGTACATTGTTATAACTGGAGATCTAACCCTCGAGCAACGGGGACCACGAGCAACGGGGACCTACTCGGTCAGAGTTAAAGCGTCTTAGGGACTACGACCCTCACCTACGCATCTGTCCACCAGCAAGAGTCACGGCATACCGGAGCAGTCTACAGTACTATGGTCCTTACCTGTGGAACACTCTTCCACTACAGCAACGACAGCTCCTTAGTCTCAGGACTTTTAAACAGATCATTAGGAGCAGGACTTCTCAGGATTTTTAAACAGTTCATTAGGTGCAGGACTTGACACTGTTGATGTTTAGGATGTTGTATTTAGTACTAGTTTTGGTACTGTGTATTTTTGTGTGTATTTTTATGTGTATCCAGGATTACCTGAAAAGCAGGCCAAAATGGCCTGAGTTATAACTACTGGTTAAATAAATAACTTGAATTGAAATTGAGACGTTAAACGGATAGTGAGTGAGTGAGTGAGTGAGTGAGTGAGTGATTGAGTGAGTGATCTTTAAAAGAAAGTTTTGCAAACTTAAGGTGATCTCCTTGCCCCTCTCCCACAGTGACAAGTGCACCCTGCAGACAGCTAACCGTCTGTACGGGGAGCAGACCTACAGCTTCCTGCAGGACTTCCTCGACGCCACCAGGAAGAACTACGGGGCAGAGCTGGCTTCTGTGGACTTCAAGGTCAGTCTGTCTGTTTGTTTGTTTGTTTGTTTGTTTGTTTGTTTGTCTAGGAACCTTCCAATGGCACACAAACCTGACCTGTAATTTGATAGAAATGACATAATCCAACAAACACAATATAGGAGATTTCAGACCTCTGGGAAGCATAAATTTCATTGAGTTTTCTGGACCTTCAAGTTTACCCAGTTTCCTGAGTCTGACCTTTTGACTGCCTGTCATTCTACCCATCCATTGCTTGACCCCTCCCCCACCATCCACATGAAGTTAATACGCTGTATTCTGTCAAGACAAACAAAAATACACAAACCCACAGTTTATCAGCGGCTACCCAAATCAATACTTTTGTAAGAGCATGAACGTACAGTGTGTTACCGGTATGTTGCGGCTACATGTATATTATCCTTTCTGGTTCATGCCCGTAGCCAGGGGGCTACGGGTTCATGCCCGTAGCAGGGGACTTTTTATGTAAAGGTCCACTTTTTGGTCCACTTTTTATGTAAAGGTCCACTTTTTATGTAAAGGTCCACTTTTTATGTAAAGGTCCAAGATTTTTCTTGAAAAGATGGACTGGAATCGTAGAAAAACTGCTCCCTTTGTCATTGAATAAAAATTTATCTCTGACTTTTTTTTCCTGGAAATCCTCTCAAAAATGCACAAAATGCCATTTTAGAAGGTTCATTTTTCAAAATTTTCCGGGGGAGCATGCCCCCGAACCCCCCTTGGAACCTCGCGCCTACGGCGCTCGCTGGTCCCATCAAGCAGTGGGAAGAACCCCCCCCCCCATTCAAAAGCCTGGCTACGGGCATGTGGTTTATCTGTGAGTCGTGAATATTGTAACATATTTTGCAGGGGGCAGCTGAGCAGGTGCGAGGAAACATCAACAAGTGGGTGGAGGAGCAAACCAAGGACAAGATCAAAGACCTGATCCCAGCAGGAGCAGTGGATTCAATGACGAGGTAGGTACATGTACAAGCTTGATATCTTTTACACAATCAATCAATCAATCAATCAATCAATCAATCAATCAATCAATCAATCAATCAATCAATCAATCAATCAATCAATCAATCAATCAATCAATCAATCAATCAATCAATCAATCAATCCACCGGCATCAGAGTAGATGCATGGCGGCTGTATCCATGTCCCTCCAGGATGTTCTGTTTTCCGCCAGCACTCTCCAGTCAGTT